GAAGTGGAACTCGCCCTCCAGGTCCAGGCGGATGCTGACATGCTCCACACCTGGGAGACAGAGAGAGACAGAGATGGCTGAGGCTGGGGAAGACCCCCATGGCCATGCAGCCCCACAGGACATGCATATGGGGAAACCCCACTGCCACCCTGACTTCACCATTCTCCGACTGCCACCAGGTCCGTTTCTCATGGGGGCTGCTCAGGTAAATGACATTCTCGATGCGATGGCTCTCAGGCAGGGATGGGTCACGTGAGTCACAGGTGAAACATTTCTCTGAGTCCTGTGCCAGGGAGTGGCACCATCAGGGATGGGTGACTGGAAGCTGCACCAGTGCCTGGCTGTGTGGGTCTATGCTGGAGCTGTTGTGGGGCTGGGTGGGCTCACCTGGAGGTGGCTGACGATGCAGTACTCCTGGGGCCCGTCCAGCCCACAGGTGGAGGTGGCACTCAGGCGAGTGGCTCGCCCCACCAGCAGGTTCCCAGTGGCTGGGTAGCAGCTGCCGCGGGCGCAGCCGTGGCTCAGGTCAGGCTCCTGCCAGCCCCCTGCCACCAGTCCCCCAACTGCAGAGAGCATGAGGGCACAGGCTGGGTGCTGTGCTGGGGCACCTGGGCACCCCCTGCTCCCCCATGCACCCACCCCACCCCCAGCTGTCCCATCCCGTCCCATCCCTGCATCCCGACCCACTGATGCAGCATGAAGCTCCATGATCCGGAAAGGTGCTGGCAGCAGCGCCGTAGCCTCGTGACCAGGGGCAGGGAGCAGGGTGAGTGGGGGGCTGGGCTGCCCGTGCTCCTGGGGGCCCGGACAGCCCCAGGGTGCCGAGGAGTGCCGCGGGGAGTCAGGAGCCAGGTCAGGCGCTTGCTAATCCTGACAGGGCTTAGTGCAGCCTGGATTCCCTGCCGGGCTTTGTGGCAGTCAGGCTATGGGCGCTGCCAGGCAGGGAGCATCGTCATTGCCACCACCTCCGCTGCCCAGCACCCTCCACCCAAACTGGGGTCCCTGAACCACCACAGCTCCCAGCACTGTGGGTATGCAGGGTGCCCCCAAGGCCAATGCTTACCCAGGAGGAAAGCAAGCACCAAGAGGTCCATGGGCAACCACGGGATCTGCCTGGTGGAACACAGAGATGGCGCTGCTATAGGGCGCAGGGTATGGCATGGGGTGCAGGGCAGCTGGTGCCTGTCCTCTCCTGGCTCTAGCGCGACTCTGCAGCCCAGGATGCACCCCCCCACACTGGCATGATGGTGCTTTCCAGGGACAACACGAGGAATCAGGGTCATTTAGGGCAGTTGAGTCTGAAAGCCCTCCAGGACGACATGCAGTGTCCACCTGAGCAGCCCTGGGGGACTGTCACACACACATCCAGGCACACAGCCATGCTATGCCCCACCAGAGCTGGCATGAACTGTGCCATGCCCCATTCTGCTTGGCTCAGAATGGATCTATCCTTTTGAGAGTCACTAGTGTCCCTGGGGGGTACCAGCACCGGGCCAGGGCCAGCTTGGGAGGGGAGCCAGGAACGCTGGAGCCGGCTGGGCAAGGGCGTCCCTGGCTCTGGCCAGGCTCCCACTGTTAAATTTAGGTTGGAGCTGTCTTTTGTGTTTCCTTCTCTCCCGGTACTTCCCGCTCCCAGCCTCACAAGGGCTGGATCAAAGCCTGGTCCCGACTCTGCCCAAACACATCTTTCCTGTCCCCCGCACGGAGCCAACCCAGGGCAAGGGGGCTCGGGGCGGCGGGGGGAGCCGCGACTCCGTTCTGGCACCCGCCCCGCTCGAAGCCATGCCGGGGCGATAGGCAAGGTGGTGCAGAGCCACGTGCTGGCACGAGGGTCCCCGAGCCCCGCGAACCCCCTGTACCTGGCGTCCTGCGGCGTCCGGCGGGACCAAGGCCAGGGGCGAGGGCGGCGTGGGACCCGCTGCCCCTGGGCTGGGCGCGCAGAAATGAGCTAGGGCAAGGGCAGCGATGGGATGGCGGCTGGTGGCCCCCCTTCCCCGTGTACGATTCTTATTCAAATGGGCTGCCCGCTGAAAGGGACGGCGGTCTCCAGGCTACGGGAATGTCACTGCCGATTCCTTCTGCCTGGAGGCCCCCGCCGCCCGCCCGCCCGCGGAGGCCAGGCCGGCCAGGCGTCGGCAGCCCGGGCACGCCCCGGCCCCCAGGCGGCACGGTGGGCCCCGCCGGCGAACAAAAGGGCGCCTCGTGGGCTGGCGAGCCGGAGGCACCGCGTTCCCCGGGCTCCCGGCACGGAGCGGCAGGAACGTGCCTGCCGCCGCCGGCAGTGAGGCGTGGGGGGCAGCGTGGCGGGATGGGTGACTGATGCTCCAGGAGCCGGCGGGTGCAGATACACAGGGGTCACTGCATCATTCTTTGCCTCAGGTGGGGATGGCCCATAGCAAAGGCACCTGCACGGCTAGGCTGTAGGGTGGAGCCGTGCAGGGCATCTGCTCCACCAGGAACTCACCCGGGCACGGCGACGATGCTGCCGGATGGGAACGTCCCTACCAAGGTACCTGTCCCTCCCCACTGCTACAGCTCCCTGGGCAAAGTCCGGCACACGTCAGCCACAGGAAGCGCATGGCAGGGGTGGGGGTACCCAGCCTGTCACTGCCAAGGGACCCCACAGCTCCTTCCTTGCGCGCTGCCTCATGCCAGTTGCCAGTACCCAGCCCGTGCCCTGGGGCTGTGCCGTGTGCCAAGGGCTGTGCCATGCCCCCGAGCTGTGCCGTGCCCAGGATCTCCCCTACGGCGCACCGGCTCCTACCTGTGCCCGTGGCAGCCTGGGGTGCTGGGCAGGTTGCTGGTGGCCCGGGTGGGCTGCGGAGTCGGAGGCCCGCTGGGCTCGGGCTGGGCTCAGCTGCTGTTCCTGGAGGAGGGCGGCCGGTGCCTGTCTCCTCCTCCGGCAGCCGTGCCAGGCGAGGGGAGGGACCTGCCCGCACCGAGCTTTAGCCAAGGTGAGGCAGAGGAAGGTACACGCTGGCGGTGGCCCACGTGTGACAGACACAGCAGTGTCCTGTGCCTAGGCTGGCCGAGAGAAGGCACAGCATTCCCACAGGGCTGCTGTGCCCGGCTGTGCAGCACGTGGGGCTGCTGAGACAGGCAGCCTGGCTGGGACTCGCCCCGCACTGCACGGGCCCGTCTGTGCCTCTTCAGGGCACGTCTCTAGCAGCGGTAGCAGAAGCCCTGCACTGCACTGCCCCGGTACCCACATCTCTAGCAGCGGTACCAGAAGCCCTGCACTGCACTGCCCCGGTACCCATGCCAGACGGATCCTGTTCGTGCCCAGTGCTGGCACTGTGGGCCCGGCCACGCCTCACTCACCCTGTGCTGGTCGGTGCTGTGTGGGATCCTCTGGACTGGCCGTGCTGGGTGCTGAGCTGGCAGCCCTGGAGCCCTGCAGGGAGCGCGGCTGTGCACCACGGCCGGGTTCCACAGAGACCTCACTGTCACGCAGGGATAGTGCCTTTTATTAGCCAAGGCCGAGGGCAAAGGAAGGAAAAGGAGCCGTGTGTTCTCCACGCCAAGGCCACGCTCTGGCCACCCGCCGCCAAGCAAGGTCATGGGCAGACAAAGGAGCAGCTCTCAGCCATAGGGATGCCAAAACCCATGCCCCCAGGGATATACCCTGAGACAACCAGGCACCTCAGCAGGAGAAGAGATGCTGTGCACAGTGCACTACCAGCTCCCCATAGCCATGCACAGCACTTGGAAGCCTGGAGGAGGGGCCAGGCTGTGCCCAGAGAGGGTCCAGCAGTGCAGGCTGGTGGTCAGGCACCACTACTACCTTCTGAGCTGGGAGAGCTGGCAGGAGATGAGCTGACAAAGAGCCATGAGCACTGGCCAGCGTGTCTGTGTCATGGGATCTTGCCAAGCAAACCTCATCTACTCTGAGGAGATCCAAAGAGGCCTGATAAAGGCAACTGTAACAGGATCGCTGGCCTTGAAAAGTGAAGTGGGAGGGAGGGATTCTCAGTGGGATGTGAGGGACGAGATAGGTACCCCAGTCCACGTCCAGGCACCTCCCTGAAGGCTGCTCTGGCTTCCCAAGCCAAGCTGCAATCCCTTCCTCTGCCCCAGAGCTGAACACGTGGGGCTGGCCTGGCTCTGCCCGGGGAGATTGGCCTGTCCGGGGGCAGCTCCACTGGCGGGGATCTGCCAGCAGCTCTGCCCTCCATCACCAGCGTTTCAACGCTGCCAAGCATCCCCCTGCTTCCTCGGCTGTCCACAGCCTCGCTCCCCCAGCACCTTTCAGCAGAGATCAGGGCACTCTTGCAGCAGCACAGAGGCCCTCTCCCCCCGCCCCATCCTCGGCAGAGCCCCTGAGCTCCAGGGGCAGCCTCTCACGCCTGGCCAGCCCTGCTTGGACCGACTTCCGTGCACACAGCAGGCAGCCAACACTTTCCCGAACATCCTTAATGAGCAGAGAATTACTTAACCACTTCCCTTCTTGAGGAACGAGCTCCAGCACGGCACTGGAGCTGCTGTCTGCCCAGGGACACAGTCCCACCAGCATTAGTGCTGGGTCAGTGCACTGACGGCCCTGCAGCACAAACTGGATCCAGATCGCAAACCATGGAACAATGGCGCTTCTGTTGAATTAGCTGGGCAGAGGGTCCTGGCTGCAGAGTGGGCAGATTCAGAGAGAAGCCAGAGGGTGGGCAGGCAGGCTGAGGCTGGCAGAGCACCTGCCAGCACAGTGCCACCCTGCATGTTTCTAGGAATTAACCAGGAATGCGGATTTATCCCAGTTTGGCACCAGTGACATACATCCGGGGTATTTCCCTCCCCAAACCAGGCAATCCTTAATGGAGTTTTAGTAATGCCAAACTTCCCTGGAGAACTGGGGAGAAGAGCTGGGGGTGTGGTCTGCAGCTGAGTGTGCCCCATGCAGCAGCTGGGCACACGGGAGACACCATTCCATGGAGCTGACACAGGGCTGGGAGCAGGAGCCCAGGGAGGAGCAGGCTGTCATAGCCCAAAGAAAAGCTGGACACATTGGGTGGTTCTGAGCACCATTTTACTGAAGGGCTGGACACCTGCTAGGACTTCATGACAAAAAGTTCACTTCATTTAAGAAAAAAGACAGTCTGGTTTTTGTCCCATTCCCTTCCAAAGAGTGGAATAATACTAACGCTGTCTTTTCACTAAGCAATGCCATTCCAAAATATACAACATTGAATGTGGAACAGCCCAGCTTCATATTAACATTAAATATTATTAGAACTTCAGAAACATTCTACACAAACAAATGAAACGGTAAAAAGTTCACTCAAGAACAAGATGGTCATTTGTAAAATCATGATACAAAGTTTGTTACTCGCCCTCCTGCGGGTTGCAGTTGCTGCTCCCCAGCCGTTGCTCGGGATGCCCAAACACCAAGGAATGCCACAGAGGAGCCCGTGGTGCTGGTCTCAGCTGGAGCAGGTCGGTCGTGCTGTGGTGTAGAGATGCCTCTCATGGAGATGCTGGTTGGCAGAGAGTGGCACAAGCAGGCGGGCAGTGCCCACCCAGAGCCCCTGTGTCACTCAGAGCAGCTGCTGTGCCTCTGCTCAGGAAATGCTCCTCCTCAGCTCAGGAGTGCTGCACCAGGACCCAGGAGGAGAGAGGCCATCATAAGGTGCCTTCCCCACCATGAACAAACACTGAATCTCGTTTTGTCCCGACCCCAGCCTGGGCAGTGCGGCAGAGCAAGGGCAGGAGGGGAGGTATTTCTGGGGGTGGCTTTGCAGCACCTCCTCTTTTAAAACAGCACCATGTGCCTGTGTCTGTGGGCATCACCAGATACTCACAGGGGCTGCCTGTAGCCACAGGAACACAGGAATGGAAAGGGCTAATTAAGACAATAAGGACAGAGTCCCAGACGATAATAAGGCCTTTAAGGGACTTCCTGGGGAAGGTATTTCGGAGGCCACATGAGCAGTGCCAGATTGTGAGACCAATGAAGGATGGGAATGAAGGGTTGGAGGGGTGCCTGCTCCAAAAGGACTCCCGCTCACCTGCAGCACCAGTGTCCATGAACTGCTACCAGGCAGGGTACGGGAATCTCTGTGGCTGGGCAGGGATGGAGGAAAGACAGTGGATGTGGAAAGCCACAGCCTTGGCTCCTCTGTTTGCACATCTCCTGCAGCAGACACAGAAGCAGCAGGCTGCTGGCTGTCCAGGTGCTGCTGGCATCTTTAGCTTTCCCTACTCCCAGCTTCTCGCTTTTCCACCAGCCTTCCTTAGCGCTCCTAAGGGAGCGGTCTGGCCTCAGCACATGGCTTTGGAGGCAGCTGCTGGCCAACCTGCAAGTTCCAGCAGTGTCACAACTATAGACAAGCTCTATTCCACACTCAGGGATGACTGGTGACAAAGGCTGGCCTCTAATGTCTTCAGGACAAGATTCCTCTGAGGTACCCAGCACCTTCCTTACAGCACTCAGCTCCAGGCAGAACAGGCTGCAAGGACAGGGAAACCCAAGCATGCTGCTCTCTAGCAGAGTCCAGAATGTGAGGGCTCAGGAGCATCCTGCCCTGCTGTGCTCTCCACAGGTTGTGCCAGCCCACCCAGCTGGCAAAGCTGAGGGCTGCAGCATTGTCAGGAAGGTGCCAGCTATCCCAAAACTGCTGTCCTGTCCGTGGGCCACCTCAGCTCCTGCAAGGCCATCCCCATCTGAACACAGGAGCAAAGAGGCCAGTGCCCTTTTGAAGACTAAAAAATAAACTGTCACTTCCACACAAACCAACCAGCCTGGCTGACCAGCTGGTCAGCTCAGCACCAACCCTGCTAACCATGGCCAAAAAAAGGATCCTCCCACCAAAACCTGCCTTCCTGCCTGGGAAGCTGCCCAGCTCAAGTCACACTGCCCAGCTGGAGCTGAGAGACAAACCTGCTCTCCATACCCAGGGATCCCTTGAGCCATGGCCAAAGGCCCAGCTTCTAGACTGGGCAGGGAACTTGGATCCAAAGGGGAAGAACTGCTGGGCTGGCTGAACCCCCCACATGCTGGCAAGTTCTGGCCATGAACACAGCACAAGTCACAATTAAAAGGGCACAAACTCTGTGCTCAATTCCAAAACCCAGAGCCTCCCAGGCCCTCTTGCCACAGCTGGAGCTGGGGTGGAGAAATGCTCCTGGTGTATCAGGGGGCCTGGAGGACAGGCTGCAAACCATGGGCAGCTGTGGAGCAGGATGCTGGAGCCACACGTGCAGCACCACCCATCTGTGCTGTTCTGCCGCCGATTCCCCTGGCATGTTCGTAGCTGGCAACTGGCTGAACTCCATGAAAGGAAGCACCAGGCAGTGAGAGGGATCTCAGCCCACTAACCCCAGCCCTGTTAGTGTGAACTGGTCTGTGAGCTGCCCAGTGAGGTGAGCACTCCAGGGAGCACACCTCCTCCACACACTGAAATACCACTCCTGGGCTGCCAAGCAAGAGTAACAAAATAATCCCTTCTTATTTTGCAAAAAAAAGTGCTTAAGAAATTCTGTATAAGGATTGCTACAGCATCTGGCTCATAGGGGATGCAAATATTTTAGAAGCAGCAGCAGCAACATGCTACATGGCTTGCAGGGAAGAGGCTGAGGAGAAACTTCTACAACCATAAGCAGTGGCAGATGGTGAAATCTGATCACAGTGGACATGAGCTTCAGAACATTTCTACCAATTAACATTGTGATTTCAACTGGTATCTGATGTCAGCTTCCCCTTCAGCTGCCTGCTGGACAAGCTGCTCTCCCCATGGACCTTGCTGACGGACATCTGAAGCATGCAGGAAGCTCAAGGACCTTGTCTGGTGGAAGGGAAGCATAAACTGCTTCTTGGCAGCTGAATAAAAGGAGAAATTATTTCCAAAAAATCAGTTGGAAGAACAGCCCTTTGACCACTAGCCGAATCATTTCTAGAAGTGACAGTGGCACAAATCCATGCATTAAAAGCATTCCTAAGAGAGCCTCCAAAGCTCCCAGCTGTCACATTGCCCAGAACAACACAGGCCAGGTTAGGCACTTGGATGAATTCAAAGTGACTAATACAGAAACAGGTCTGAACAAGGTGCATACCACATGCTCAGCAGAGACCACAGCGCTCTGGGCAATGCATTTCTATGTGCCTGCCAGTTACTGTTGCACGGATCCCTGGAAATGTTACTCAGCTGCCACAGAATAACCCAGGATGGAAGGGACCGGTGGGGGAGACCTCTAGTTAGATCAGGTCTTAGGCAGCTCTGGTTTGATCAAACCCTTCATCTACCCTTAACAGCAGAGAGCAACATCCACACAGAGCCCCTCTGCAGCCTCATGCACATCAGTGTTACATGCTCAGGACACCAGGAGCATCCATACCTGGGCACAAGCCGAAGGACGGGGGAGCCAGCCCATGGCAGACTGAGGCACCCCGTCTGCCAGCAATGGCTCGTGGGCAGCAGCTGCTGGCCCCAGCACAGAGGCTGTAAAGCCTCTCTATAACAACCTGCAACCCTTAGAGTCAAGTTCCTGAAGCACCTGCAAGAGGAAGAAGAGACAACAGGAGGGCAGAGAATGGTGGTCCAGCACTGCCCTGTCGCTCAGAGCCCTGTGGTCTGTTAGAGATGCGCAGGAGAGCTGACAGAGAGGGGACTGGTGATGAGCAAGTCCCTGAGCACACAGCTATGGAGTGCTCACTTCCCTGGCAGCAGTCTCAGTGACACAGAGGCATTTCCAAAGCTTGTCTCTCCCTGTGGAGCAGAACACCTTTTGCTGGTGGCCTGGGAAAGACACAGGGCAAACTGTCATCACCAAGCACGCGCAGAATTCGGCTCAGTGCTGGGAAAGGCACGGCAGCACTAAGGCTGGATGCTGAGCTGGATGTGTTAAACAACAAGTCCTTGACTGGCAGAGACCCAAGCTGTGAAAGACAGGAGGTGATAGAAAAAAGTGAAGAGGCAGGCAGCAGTACAGCTGAGAGAAGACACACAGTGATGAGGAGGGATGTGGCCTGGTAAGTTGGCCTCAGGTGCTCAGCTTCCCACTCAGGCTGGAGGAAAAGCGGCTTCGACCTGGATTCAGCCTTGTTGATGCACGCTGTTTTTCCCAGCGGAGGCCAAGTGCTCAGCTGGGATGCCTGTGCTGCATAAGGAGACTCCAAAGACAGCTCTCAGTGCCCTTATAAGGGTCTGGGAACGGGGGAAGCTGCTGAGCAGCCTGACAGCAATACCGCAGGCAGGAGTTCAGAGCCCTCCTCGGGAAACAGCCCAAAAGAGAAACACCAGTGCAGGACTTCAAGACCTGGCATTTGAGAGCGTGGGAATGAGAAAGGTCTGAAGGAGCGGGAACAAAAGGAACAAAGCAATTTTTGGCCAGTTGACAGTGATGGAGAGCCCCTGTTCATCCAGCACCAGGTCAGGACAGGGAACACTCTGCCAGAGCATTTTAAAACACAGAAGCAGAAGAAAATATTTCCTCCTCCTTGGCAGCCAACCAGCGGCATTCACAGGTCAGTCTCAAACACTGCAAGTTATGATCTCTTACAGGAGCTCAGAACCCAAGTGTGGGGTTCAGGGCTTGCAAACATTCCCTGAATCATAAAATCACAGAAGAGTTTGGATAGGAAGGGATCTTAAAGATCATCTTGTTCCAACCAACCTGCCATGGGCAGGGACACTACACTAGACCAGGCTGCTTAGTGAAAATGAACCTCCACCCTGCTCTGTGTGGGTGAGAGGAGAACCCAGATGCATCTCAGAACACTCAACTTCCCTGCCTTCTCACCCCATCAAGAACCTCCTCTCTTCTCTCCATACCACAGTCTTCCTTTCTGTGCTGGGGATCAGACACTGACCCCTTTTATAAACCACTGAAATCCAACCAGGTGCTTTGGGGGCAGGGCTCAAATACAAGGATCTGGGACTTCCCTGGGGAGCTCATCCCTTCAGCCAATGCCCACAGAGATTACTAGGTCAGACAACTGGTATTTTGAGCTGGTGAGAGAATGAGTGGATTACACTACTGCTGTAGAGATCTGAGCATATAGGGATATACAGAGCCAGGCCCATACCCAGCCCAGTGCCTCTTCCTTTCCCCAGGACACCAGGTTGTCCCTTCTAGGTGACAGCAGCAGCTCTAACTGTTCCAACGAGGTGTTTCTCCTGGGATTAGTAGATCCCTCCCTGTGGAGTGCAGAGAGCACAGAGCAGTGTTCCAATCCAACAGCGTGTCCCCGGTGCAGGGAGGTGACAGCAGCTGTCTGCAGCGGTTCTGCAGTGCCTCCTAGGGATGGCAGAGCCTGCACTCCTTCCACACGGAGCTCTCACACCTGCTACACACCTTCTCACAACATCCCTGATAGCACAGCAAGGCTGCCACCCACCACATGATGCCCATCTCCCCTCCTACTGCTTCATCCCCATAAACCAGAAAGCAACGTTCCATGTTTTAGTGTTGGTGTATGTCCTCCCAAATTTTTCCCTTTTCTGCTTTAACTCAGGCTCAGGTATCCCACTGAGCTCTGGGACTGGCAGGATGTAGCTAATGCATTCAAACACAGCATGCATCTCTGTCGTGGCTTAACTCCAGCCAAAACCAACAGTCTTCTCTACCGGCACCTGGAATCTGCTCCTGGAACACCCAGCAACAGCGAAGCAGTTACATGGGGGGCAGGACACTACACAGTTCATGCTAACAGTTCAAGCCCTTTGGCTCTAACAGTCACAGTTCATAATCCATAGCTGCACCTGGGGTATAGGAGAGCAGAGTGATGCTGGGTGCTGAGGAGGAATCCTCTTCGGAGGCAAATCCCTACCACGTGTTCAAAACTTCTGCTACCCACAGAGGAGGTGCCTAAAGATGTCAGACATACTTGCAGCCCTGTGACACTCCCCCACTGTTATGCAGAGGTTATACCAAAAACGGGATTAAAACTACCAGCTGGTAATTCTCCAAATTGTTTGGCATTCTGGAGACAAACAAGTGGCTACACCGCTGCTGCCTCCGAGCTGATCAAGGGAGCCCAGGACAGACTGTCACAACACTGAACCACAAAGCAATTCTGGCACCTTTCAACAAAAGGCTAGCTGAAGGGAAAGAGGAACAAAAGCTATCAAACCCAATCCCAAAAGGATGGAGGAAGTGCATCTTCCCACAGTTCCTGGGCCATATGCACATATATGGATATATAGATATATAGATAATAAAGTTATAAAATTTGATCAAAATAAAACCAGTAAATGTACAGCTTGAAAAAGAGCAATATCACAGTGCATCAATGTCATGAGAAAGTCCTGTGTTCTCCCCTGCACAAGAGCACAGCCTGCCATGTTCAGGGGAGCGTGGTGAGAAGTGAGCTCTCCAGCCCGCTCAGCTCAATGCTGGCCGGAGTCACCGTCCCACACTCCTGAACAGAGGTTTGGATTTCTGCAGTCAGCTCTGCACAGCAGTAGCAGACAGGCAGGAACAGCATGAGAGTGGGCTGCTCTGTCTGCAGGTTAGTGGGCATACTGGCACCAGAGACACAGAGTCACTCCTAAGCCTCTCTGCGCTCTGGTGCCAGACTTGTATTTACTTACTTACAAAAAAAAAGTGACAAAGTGAAGAAATTCAGAGGACACTATGAGAATGGGACAAGGGCTGAATTTGGATCACAGGGGACAGGTTGACCCTAAGAATCTTCTGTGCTCTCCTCCTCACTTCATCATCAGAGGAAGAGTTCCCCACCTTGATGGTCCGGAATTTCAGCAGGTTCAAAGCACTCTGAGCCTGTCGAGTTTTCTTTCGGACAGGAATGGTATTTGCTTTTTTCCTCTGTGGTGCTTCTTTTGCCTCTGTAGCTCTTCTCTTCTTCTGCCCAGTGCCTTCCTGGCAAGTGCTGCTGTCCTTCCACTCTGTTTTTCCCACCAGAACTTCCTTATCTTTGATTTTCAAGGTCTTGGGCTGTGGTGCTGTGGTGCAGTCCTGGGACGAGCTGCCTGCGACTCTCCCATTGAGAACTCCGGAGGCTTTGCAGGCGTTGCTCTCCTGCAGCACTCCACCCTTTGGTCCCCTCAGAAGCTTTAAAGCACGGCTGGCAGAATTGGGTGCTTTCTTAACCAAACGCTTGTACCCCTTGCCTTTGGTTATTTTAGTGGTCTTGCCTGAAGAAAACTGCCTTGGTGAACTTGAAGTCTTGAGGAGTTTAAGGTCCGAAGGAGAGATCCCAAGACGCCCCTGTGTGCACTTGGACTCCAAACAGGATGTTGCAGTTTTCAGTGGCACCAGGGCTTCCAGAACCACTGACAGTCTCATAGCTGGATACACATCAGGATACATGCTTGTAGGGAAGCCCACTGTTGCTGCCTTGGATGTGCCAGATCCTGTCTGCTTCAAGGAGCTCAAGAGGAGATTTCTGGAATCCCCTTTGGAGACTGGCTGACTGGAGACTTTCAAAGAGCTCACTGGAGTGCTGGTGGGCAAAGGGGCCACTTTTGCCACTGAGTTCCTGGCTGGACTCTGAGTGGGCTGAGTGGTGCTGGCGCAGTTGCGCTGTGTGTTTGTTTCCGTCTGACTCGGTGTGACTGCCGTGCACGAGCTGTACCCGTACACATCCTTACTCCTCAGAATCGTGGGCTGGTAGCCCTCCTCCTTCAGGCCTTGGATGAAGGCCACCAGCTGGGTCTCTGTGTCCGAAAGATCCTTGGACATTGGGTTGAAGACTCGGAGGGCTTCCTCCAGCACTTTCTGTCCTGCAGAGGAAATTCTTGACCAGGAATGGACAGCTTTTTCTTCCTCATTGTTCACTGCAATATTCATGGCATTAGGCAAGCAGGTGCTTCAAAAAGGTCCAAATTACTGGAAAAACAACCTTTGACACCTCAAAAGGAGAAAGAAGACAGTTAGCTTAAAGCAACTGAAATTATCCAGTTTTTAATATGCGACCTGGAACCATTAAGCCCAGGTCTCAAAAGGAGAAAGAAGACAGTTAGCTTAAAGCAACTGAAATTATCCAAGATTTTTAATATGCGGAACCATTAAGCCCAGGCGTGGCTGGTCACAAACACTGGGTCAGATTCTGGGCTCAACCCAACATAGAAGCATCACCAAGAAAAACCTCTCACTCATCTATCTCTGAAACAAAACTAAAACATCTCTCACAAAAATATCCTCCAACCTAAACAAAGATTTCAGGAAATCCCATCCAATTCACCCCATGATGAAGGACTCCAATGATTAACTCAGCAAAATCAGCAGCTCCTTTCCAGTTTGAGTTTGACCCACCCCGGCTTTGGATAACCAGATCTCATTTCCTCATTGAACCCTTTCCCTGCGTACACACCTCAACCAGCACCATTGAGCCATCTCAATACTGAGAAATGCCTAACTTCAACGGCATCCCAGCACCACCTTTAATTTCTCAGCTTCTTAACTGATGCTGCTCAAAAATTGATTCTGAGTCCCTTGCCAAAGCTGCAGTTTCCTCCTGGAGAGCTGGCAGCAGGGCTGGAGGCTGTTCCAGTTGTGCTTTATTGATGCTGAATGCTGTGGCAAGGCAGCACTGCTCCTTGCTGTTCTCTTGTTTGAACAACGGTCCACAACTTGCTGTCACAGCAAACTGGTGTTGATCCAAGGACACTTGCTGCCAAGTGAGGAGGAAGCAGGAAATTCAAGCAGGGCGGTATGAAGGAAACACACATCACCAGGGCCAAGTGTACAAAGGCCTGAGGGACAACACTGGGATCACACTCAGGGCACTGTGCAGCTGCCTGCCTGGCATAAAAGCATCAATTATTGTTTTCAATAAAAAATAGGCACTAAAGGGCAGTCCAGGCAGGACTTGGAAGGGCAGTGCTTCAAGAGAACTCTGATCCTGGTGGCCTCACAGCTCCACAGCTGGATGCTAGACCGACAAGGCAAAAAATCTTTAGCTTTATTGATACCTCACAAAATAATAATGAAGATTCAGTTAAAAACCCTGATCAGGGAAATGCAGGAGATGTCAGAGACAGTTTTGGAGAGGGTAGGCAAGAAAGCTGTGACAGAGAAGTTAGTGCCTGAGCAGCCAGAACAAGGAACCATTCGTCCCATGTTGCCCCCAGAAGTCTGGTCTCACCACAGCACAGGAGCAGAGCCCGTGCTGCCGCCAGCTGCACGAGCAGGGAAGAGACACAAGGCAAGAGCAGCCACAGAAGGGAAAGCACAGGTCAGTGGGGGAGTAAGAACCTCCACATGACAGACTAATCTCAGTCAAGTGCTCTGCAGACGTCATGGCCAAAGAGGGATTTGGAGGAGGATAATGCAGTAGTTCAGAGGCAGGCGGGGGATCTCCCACGAAGGAGGGGCGGCAGGCAGGGACGTGATCCCACAGAGCCCCATCCAGCAGTGAGAGTCACCACCTCCAAAGTGACCAAGCAGTGCCAGGCACAGGGAAGCCACAGAGAGTGTAATGTTAATTCTGATGTGGTGAGGCAGAGACTAACAAAGAAGCACAAGTAACGACATATGCTCAACAAGCTGCAAAATGGATCCTCTTCAGGCTGCAGCAAGCCCAGGAGCATCTGAAGGGGTGTTCTGGCTGTGACATTTCATGGGAACAGGACTTTCCAACATCCAGCTCCTTGGTCCTGTTTGGTGCAGTGCCAGCTGTACTGGAGGAAAGCCGGCCACGAGCAGACACACCCCTGGACAGCCTGTCCTCCCGACAGCAGGTTCCCTCCCGTGACACACTGCTGTGGGGCCGGGGGCTGCGGGAGCACAGCACTCCCTGCACGGTGCAAGCACAGCACCGGCAGGTCGATGCTAGCACCGGTTTAGAGGCCCGGCTGTCCGAGCACGGAAAGGGCTCTCCCGGTGCACCGTGGGGGAAGCGGCTGCCGGCAGGGCCGAGACGCGGGGCTGGGGCAGCCTGTAGAGCGGCAGGCCGGTGCGCGGTCCCAAGGAGGGCTCGACGGGGCCGCCAGGTCCTCGCTCAGCCTCTCCTTTCGGCCCGCCCCTCGGCGCAGGCGATGCCCCTTCCCGAGGGCCCGTCCCTCGCTCCCGCTGCGCCCTCCCCCAGGCTCGACCCGCCGCCGGATGGGCCCCGGGGCGGGCAGGCCGCCTGGGCCGGCCCCTCCCTGCAGGGCTACGGGAGGTGATTGGTGCAGACAGGGGGTGCGGCATCCGCGCTCGGCCCGCACCGGCTCCCGGGACCGGGGGGGGCGGGGGGCGGGGCCCTCAGCGCCGCGGCTCCGCCTCCAGCGCCCTGAGGCCGCCCCAGCGGGCGGCTCGGCAGCGCCCTCGCCCGGGAGCCGGCGTGGGGCCCGGGCCCGCCGGCCCCAACCTACCGGCTGCCGCCAGACCCGTGCTCGCCGCTGCGCCGCACCCGCCGCTCCAACATGGCCGCCCGCGGGGCACCGGAAGCGCCCCCGCTTCCGCTTCCTGTCTCTCTCCGCGGGCCCGGTCACTCCCACAGTCACGGGGCGCGTTCGGTCACGCCCCCGCCCCTCCCCGCCCCCGCCGTGACCACGGCAACGGCGGCCAGGGCCGTCCCCGGGCCGGCAGGGGGAGCCGCTGGCGGAAGCGGCGCGGGCGGAAGCGGCGCCGTCACCAGGTAACGGGGTCGGTGTCGGGGCGATGAGCGGCGGGGCCGGGCGACGGCGGCGCCTGGTTCTGCACGTGGACCTCAACAACACGGTGGTGGTGGCGGACACGGTGACGGGGCAGGCCCCACGAGCGGCGCTCAACACCTTTCTCAGCACCGTCACCTGGGGCCGCGTCGGGGCTGCCGGTGAGCGCCGGGGCCGCGGGTACGGGGGTACGGGGGCCCGGTGTGGCGGTGCAGGGGCTGAGCGCGTTCCTCTCTTCTAGGCGAGTGGGAGTGGGTGAGCGACCGCCCGTCCCTGCGCCCCCCGTGCCCCGGCGCCCTCAGCTACTACAGCCGCCACGGCCGGGACCCCGCCTTCACCGAGGCCGGCCCGGGCCGGCGCTTCCGTGACCTCCACGCCCGCCACCTGCGGCTGCTGGAGTGGCCGGGCCGGCCGCACGACGCCTTGTCGGTGCCGGGGGAGCCCGGCAAGCGCTACCACCTGATCCTGCCATCCTTCTTCCGCCTCCTGGACACGCTGCACCGGGATGGCAGGGCCTTCGCTGTTGTCTTCAGGACCTTCGGCAGCGACCTGCCCCGCGCCCTGCAGGCCGTCAGCAGCGCCCTGCGCGGGCAGCACCCCCAGTTCCCTGCCCTGCGGGACGTGGCGGTGAGTGGCGCCCTGAGGGTCCGTCGTGGTGGGGAAGGGCAGCCGGATGGTCCCACGTCAGACTGCTCTCCAACTGCTTGGCCAGACTGCTTTTAAAAGCATCGAGTTCTCTGGATGAAGCTGTTAGCTGTGGGGGGCATGTGTGTGCAGATCCTATGTGGAATGGTCTCCTCTTGGGGTATCCTGTGTTGGACAGAGCATGCCTTCTCCCGAGGAGGGGCTGCTGCAGCAAAGCAGGGCTCCCTGGCCCAGAGCTGATCACAGCTGCACTCTCCTCCCCCTGGCAGCACACTGGGCAGGAGTGCTGGGAATGAGCTTTAGGAGATGCTTATTTATTCCTTGGAGTGTTTTCAGGTAGCAGAGATTGAAATGGGAGCAGTATCCATCTAGGAGGTCATATCTTTCCATCCCTGGGGAGAGGGATGATTTTTGATTGGATGCATTCCATGCCTTCCCTTGTCATCTTCCCACACTGTAGTGATGGGGAGTCTCCACCGTGCTGCTTGGTGTCTCTGCCAGTGTGTGAAACAACCTGTCTGCTTTGCAAACTTTTCCTTCCCCATTTTCTGTGGTCCTGCAGCTCCCTGTGGACCTTACCCCTGGCCAGATACGCTGCAGCAAGAAGGAGGTGGTGCTAACACGGGGAGCAGAGCGTCTGGCCACCCAGGAAGACAGAAGAAAGCTTTACAACTACTTCAGCTCCTTTGAGGGAATTGGAGGCTTCCAAGACCACTTTGACTGGTGAGAAAGAGGGCACTGAGGAAGTGGCTTGGGCAGTATCTTCTTTCCTGTGATTCTCTCAGTTTCTGGGATAGCTCCTAGTTTTGAAACCTTTAAGTTGTTAGGGTCCCTAGCACTTAGGCACTCCCCATTTTGCCTGTGGGCAGCCTGATGGGACTCTCACACCATTCCTGAGGTCCCCATCCCCTGGTGTACCTCCTGCTTTTCTCCAAAGACTCCCTGATTTGTCACCTTGATGCAAAATTCCTCATGCCTTATTCCTAGGAGGGTATGGGGAGCAGGACAGGACATTCTGCGTCCTGCTGCCCTGGCTCAGAGGGTGCCCTGGGCCTGCCTGCAGTACAGTCTGCCATTACCTGGGAGCTGTCACCCTCTCCCTGCCCTGACTGTTCCTTCTCCACTTACTGTTTCAGGTGGGCCAGAAATCAGTTTTCTTCCCAGGGTGGGAAGCCCCTGTGGGTAGACCCCCATGATCCTGACGTTCACCACATCTTCATTGATGACAACATCCGGCTGGACGATGGAGACACCATTGTTCACCCCCAGGTAGGTGGCTGAAGGCCCCTCTGGCACCAGCAGCCTGCACCAGGCATGTCCCTGGCAAGGTCAGACATGTTTTGTCCCCTTTGCATGAGGCTGCAAAGGGGAATCAAGGCATAGCCCTGCTGTCACTGCATCCTGTGCCAGCAGTGTTGGTGCCAGCGATGCACAGGGAGGCTGAGATCAGCCGTCAGCAATGCACAGCAGGTACTGGCTGCCTCTGCTCCCCTCTGAGTCAGCCCCGCGCCTGGAGGCAGCAGCAATGATATCAGGGCTGCCAGCCTTGTCACCTGTCTGAATGAAGGGACAGTGTTTGTGGGGAGCACACTTGGGAAACAGAATGTTTACACAGACAGAGCTGTGCCTGACTGTTGGACAGCTGTCAATGCTCAAACAAGAGCTGCAGGTCCATGGGCAATCCTCAACCTCTGCCTGTTTCCATCCATATGGAGACGGTGCAGGGGGGAAACATGGCAGCCAGTGAATTGTCTGGAGTGTTTGGCAGGCAGCCTGGGAATGGAAAGGGATGGGATGCTCATTGGATGTTCCCTTCCATACAAGCTTTCTCAGCTTACACATTTGTAGCTGGTGGCAGGAATTGTTACTGCCTGGACAGACCTGTCAGGAACAGGTTCTGGTCTGTGCCATGCCTGGTTGAGGGGAGCCTTTGCAATGGCTGCTGCAGCAGCTGGAGTGTGGCTTACACAGCTCCACTTGCTGCATTTCAGCATCAGGCTATTTGTCTGATCAAGGAGTTCTCCTTTGACATTGGTGGCCTGCACGTCTGGTCAGTCAGGCTGCTGTGCTAATCTCATGGCAGCCATGCAGCCAGCCCTGGGGCTGCTCCCATGCTGGATCACACAGGTAGGATCCACTTTTGGTAGCAGCAGACCTCGTGGGAGTCTGGGCAGCAGCCAAGCATCTTCCCAGAAGGGCTCATTGTCACTGCTGGGACCTTGCTGTCCTGCAGCCAGGATCAGTAGGTGAAAAGGCATTCTCCCTCCTTGCATCACCAGCTCTGCAGGGCTGTCCCCATTTCAGTGATGGTGACAGAGCAGCACTAGGAGTGAAACAGATTGCCAGGTGACTTTAAGCAGGCCATGGTGAAGATCAGAAGGTGAAGTCCCTGTTCCATCCTTTGGCAGCTAAAGGCGGAGCTGTTGGCAGAGGTTTGCCTGGAGTCAGCTGCTCCACAGAGCTGTTTTCTTCCAGCTGCATGGTGTGGCCTGTTTCCTTAAGGGAGCACCAGGCACATGTGTGACATGCTGGTTCAGAGTCAAAGGCAATTTCTGGGAGAGGGGGAAATCTCAAGAAATTTCAGCTGCTGTTGCAGTGGAGATAGGATCACCCTGCCCTCTGCTCCTGACACACAGCCAGCATGGAGGTGCCTGGCTGAGGGGAGGGCAGAGCACACCCGGGGCGTGTGCATTGCTGCCAGGCTCTGCTCTCCCTGCAGGTGTTCTCGGAGCAGGGCAGCAGCAATCCCAAGAGCGTGCCTACCTCGGCGCTGTACAACATTTGTCTGGTGCAAACCAATTTGCTGGAGGCCATTGCTGATGAGGACTATTTCATGCACTGTGTGAGGAGGTGCGAGGAGAACTACGACCGCTACCTGGCCTGCATGGAGAAGGACACCCCAAGCCAGCAGTGGGATGGACAGTGATAACCACCTCATGGGGCTGAGTGGCTCCAGACTGGGACACCACCTGCTTCCTGCTTTGACTGCTGCAAGTAGTCAAAGTCCCAGGCAGGCTCCTGCTTCAAGCTGTTACCTCTCCAATGTGCAATGTGGGTGTTCAGTCCTATCAGGACCTTCCATGAGCGAACACAAGCATCCTGGGAGCTTGCGTGATGGGATTCTTGGAGGAAATGGTTTTCCAGTCTTTGGCAGTGTTGCCCGTGGTGCCCATTTCTGCATGAGGACTGGGGCTCACCATCCCTCTGCAGTCACCAGGCAGGTCCCTTCCACCATACTGTGATGCAGGCAGCCTCGCAGTGTTCGCACCTCACTTTCTGTTCCTGCACTGATGGCTGGTGCAGAGCAGGTGCCAGGATGAATACAGTGTTATCAGCAGCATCCCCAGGTGGCATTTGTGGTGTGGTGTTCTTGGTGGATGCCTTGTCACTTCTGTCTGTTTTTAAAGCAAACCTTTTTAGCTCATTTCTGTGTGAGTTTCCTGTCTGCCCTTGGCTCTGCCTGTGCTGGTGGGTGGGAAGCGCCTTTCCCAGCGTGTTCATTTGCCTGGCTCAGCCAAGTGGGGACAAAAGTGTTGGTGGAGGGTTTGAGACCCATGTGCACCTTTCCTGATGCTGCTGAGAGACCCCAGCAAGGTCACACTCAGAGCAGGGCTGAGCTCATGTTCTGTCCCTGCAGTGGTGACAGGATAGGAGTTGTCTCTAGTGTAGGACGGTGGGTTCCCGACTCCTTGAGCCCTGCACTGTGTGGCTCTGGCACCGGCAGCATACAGCAAGGGAGGTCACAGCCAGGGTCTCTCCAGCCCCTCTCCCTGCGATGGTTCCTTCCCGGCCAGGTGAACGCGGCAGGGGCACGGCGGGCCGATGGCATCGGGAGGGCCGGGCGGAGGGGAGCGGGGCACGGCAGGGGGGCCGGGGCGGACGCGGCGCCGCCCCCACCGGCAGCGGGCGGGCCCGGGGCGGGCAGAGGCGCGGAGCGGCGGGGAGAGCGGCGGAGCGGGCGGAGAGGTGAGTGCGGCCCTGGTCCCGGTCCTGGTTCCTGCCCCTTTCCCTCTCCCAGCGGCGGGGCGGCGCGGAGCGGAGCGGGCAGTTCGGGCACGGCGGAGCGGCCGTCCGGGATTGCGGGCGGGCATCCGGGGAGCGCCGGGGGCGCGAGTGTTGCAGCGGGAGCCCGGGGGACGCCGGTGTCAGCGAGCTGTGGGCGGGAGCCCTGTGGGTGCGGGCTGCGGGGCAGCGCGCCGGAGCGCCGGGGGTTGCGGGCTGGAGTGCGTGCAGCACCGGGGCTGAGGACGGTGCGCCGAGAGCAGGAACCTGGCGGGGTCCGGATTGTGAACGGGAAGCCTCTGCGGGGTACGGACCCGGGGGATGCGGGTAGACAGCTCCGGGCACGCGAGGGTCCCAGTCAGTGCGCGCTGTGTACCAGCAGCACCGGGTAGTGGGAGCCCGGGGTGCGGGAACCTCGGGAAGCAAGAGCACTGGTACGTGCGGGCAGAGAGCCCCAGGGAGTGGGAGCCCGGAGGGGGCGGACAGGGAGCCGTGGGGCGCAATCGGGAGCCCGGAGGGGGTGGGCAGGCAGCCCGGGGTGCAGTGCGGAGCCCCGCGAAGCAGGAGCTGTCGCACCGCCAAGGGGAGCTGGCTAGCTGGGGCTGGAGGAGCGATGGGTGCCTGGGCTCTGACTCGGATACTCTCCCCGCAGAAGCCCGTGGGCCGGACCAGTGGCTAGCCGGGCCGGATGGGCGGCACGGCAGGGCCAGAGCCCGGGGACCCCCGAGGCGGCTGAGCCGGCCCATGGCGGCGGGCGCCGGCGCCTTCGCGTGGGCCACCTTCCCCGCCATGCCCACGCGGCGCGTGTACTGCAGCGCCGCGCACCGCGACGGGCAGCTCTTCGTGCTGGGCGGCTGCGGGGGCGGCGGGCGAGCCCTGGGAACTGCTGAGCTGCTCGACCTCCAAGCCCAGCGCTGGGCCACGCTCCCACCACTGCCCACGCCGCGGGCTGGCGCTGCCGTCCTCGCCCTGGGCAAGCAGATATTGGTGGTGGGTGGTGTGGATGCGGCGCAGAGCCCCCTCGCCTCTGTTGAGGTCTACCACGTGGATGAGGGCAAATGGGAGAAGAAGGCGGCATTGGCTCAGCCCTCCATGGGCATCTCAGCTGTGCAGAGAGGTGAGGGTTAGGAACATGTTGTGACTCTTGCCCAAAGTTTGCTGAGCATCCTTGGAGTCTTGGTACAGTGCAGCATGCCAGGAGCCAGGGTTGGTCCCTGTATGTGGTGCCCATGTCTGCTCCCTGGACAGGGATGCTGTGGCATGGACCAGGCTGCAGTGTGGTGGGCAGGGCAGAGAAGATGTCAGGACAGTGGTGGGAGGGGGCAGGGGTGCCGGCCACACTAGAAGCAGAAGCAGGATTTGGCAGTATGGCTGTGTTGCCATGGTGTCTCCAGGGAGATGATACTGCCGAGAATAATTAGTGAGGATGGCCCTGTGCTCCTGTCTGTGCCTGATGGATGGGATGGGGACGGGGGCAAGAAGGGTCCCAGTGCAGTCAGGGCATTGCCAGGCTCAGGCCTGGCTGTACTCATTGTGCCCCGGCTGCCCTGGAGCAGTGTCTGGCTGTGGGGCTCGGCAGTACCGCTGCTCGCTGCTGCCTGCCCTGGAGGACATGGGGGGACTCCAGCCCTTCGGTGCTGCCCACAGATCCCCCTGCCTCACTTGCTGCCTCTTTTCCAGATGGGGCTGTCTACGCACTGGGAGGAATGGGTGCGGACACCTCTCCCCAGGCATTGGTCCGTGTCTATGAGCCGGCAAAGGACCACTGGCAGCCCCTACCCTCCATGCCCACACCGTGTTATGGGGCCTCTGCCTTCCTGCAGGGAAACAAGATCTTCGTCCTGGGTAGGTGCTGCTGGGGCAAACCAAGCATCCCCTGTGTCTCTACCCTCTTCTTCCTCTGTTCCCAGGCCAGAGAATGACCTGGTACACCCCAGGGTGGCTCCATGGTGCCCAGCACTGCAGCCAGCAGACCCCATCCTGCTTGCTGGGCACACCAACAGTGCCAGCTTGGGGCACTGGCAGCTACATCTCCTCTGTGCATAGGAGGCCGTCAAGGCAAGCTGCCTGTCACCGCCTTCGAGGCTTTTGACCTGGAGACGAGGAACTGGACACGCTACCCCAGCGTGCCCAGCCGCCGCGCCTTCGCCGCCTGTGCCATGGCTGATGGAGTTGTCTTCAGCCTGGGTGGGCTGCAGCAGCCAGGGCCCCACAACTTCTATTCCCGTCCCCATTTTGTCAACACCGTGGAGATGTTTGATCCTGCACAGGGTGAGCTCCATGTCTCTGGGTGAGGTGGGAGCATCTTCTGTGGGTCTGGGATGATTCTGTGGGTTGGTAAGAGGTGTCTGTGCCTGAGGGACAGGATTATCTGGGCTCTGAACATCAGCCCCTTGTACCCATGGTGAATCCTGTGTTCGCTGGTCCCAGGGAGTGATTAACCTGTGGGTGTTCTGGCCTTGGGGTTTAGAGGGGAAACCCCAGCGGGCAATGCTCACTCCCTCTCATACCCAGGTGTGTGGAGAAAGCCAAGCCGCACCATCCGTATGAAAGAGAAGAGAGCTGACTTCGTGGCTGGATGCCTGGGAGGAAGAGTGGTGGCTGTGGGTGGCCTCGGTAATGCTGGGGGTAGGCGTGTGGCCATGCTCCCATCCCCATTCTTTGGGGCACATCAGTGATCTGCATGGCAGTAGGGAGGTTGGCTGTGCAAAACCAGGGGTTTACTGCAACATTGTCTGCAGCAACATCTCTCCATGCTCTCACAAGTGCTGGGGGACCCTACTGCCCTGTCCCACTGGCTGACCCACTGTGCCCCTTGCCCCTTTCACTCCCCAGTCAGGCTTTTTCCAGCTCATATGCAGCGTTCTGGTCTCACACAACCCATGGTGGCTCAACTTTGCTGTGCAGGGTTGCAGTGCTGCATCCCTCTCCCAAGAGAGCTGGGGAAAGGTTAGTGCTGTCACTCAGCAGAGGGCATACAGCAGGAAGGGCTGCCTGGGGAGCCTGGTGCCAGCCACAGCACCCCCAGCCCTGCAGCGAGGTCTGCCAGACCCCCAAGATCGCTGTGGGAATAGGGAATGATGCTGGCTGCATCCCTGCAGTGTGGCATTGCTCCTGAGTCCTGCCGCAGCTGGAGATGCCTTATCCCTGCAGAGTGCTGGCACAGGGAGGGGGGAGTGTAAGGAGTGGTTGAGGGAGCAGAGCCAGCAGGTGTAGCATTAGTGCCAGCAGCATCCCTGTGGGGACTCTGCTAATCCCCTGGTGCCCCCACTAATTGCCTCTGGGATCTCGAAGCCTATGCAGCTCAGGGCTCCTGTTGAGGCATCAAAGGGATGTGGAGGGGGAAAGGCAGAGCCTGGGGTGAGAGGCGGGGAGATGCACAGAGGCTGATGTGGTTCTGTCTTCCACAGGGAACCAGTCCTGCCCTCTGGACTCAGTGGAAGGGTTCAGCCTCTCGCAGAAAAAGTGGGAGCCGCTGCCCCCCATGCCCACTGGCCGCTGCTCCTGCTCCAGCTGCCCAGCACCCAGCCTGCTCTTCATCATCGGTGGTGTGGCACAAGGTCCCAGTGGCGCTGTTGAGGCTCTGTGCCTGCGTGATGTGCCCTGAGTGGGACCCCAGGGACCAGCCCTGGCCAAGCACCAAGTGCCTGAAGACGGGGACAGGGTGTGTGAGCACCCATGTGTTCACCCAGGGTGACCTGGCTCCAGGAAGCCTCTGTCCCATGATGCCAGGCACCAGAGCAGCTGTGGTTTTGTGAACTCCCAGCTCCTGCAGCGTTGTGGCAGTGAAGCCCAGGGCAAACTCCTGCCTGGTGGGATGGCCATTGGCAGCAGCGTGGAGGGAGCAGCGGTGGCAGGACTGCCGCTGGCCTCACTGCCCTGTCCGGCCCCATCTGTGCCACGGCGTATCTGTGCCGTGTGTGTAGCAGTGAGTGCTGTGTCGTCGTAGACCCAGTCGATGTCTCATGTAGCACAGAGGTGCCCTGTAGCTCAGTGCCTGGGAGGTGATGTAGCACCTCAAATAAATGAAACGTGGAATTTTATCCTACTGGAGTCATGTCGTCTCTGGTTATCCTACTCCAGGCAGACGTGTGCTGCAGCCTGTCAGGAAAACCCCTCCCAAGGCAGAGTTCAGTGACTCCATATGGTGGAGCAAGGGTAGCTCTTGTTCTCCCCACCTCCAGGGTGAGCGGAGCAATGTGATGTAGAGATCCAGTCCCTGTTTGGAGAGGGGGAGCTAAGCAGTGGCTGTCCTGCCTTAGCACAGCCTTCTTCCTGCTTGGCCTCCTGTGGGGGAAGAGGCTATGGGGGGATGAAGGCAGCAGCAGAGGAGGGACTTTTTTGAAGGTACCCAGGGTGTGAGAGAGGCAGGGAATGTTGAGGGCTGCCAGGATGCTGAGAAAAAATAAGAGATGCTTAATG